CTCTCTCTCTCTCTCTCTCTCTCTCTCTCTCTCTCTCTCTCTCTCTCATACACACATACACACATACACACACACACACACACACGCACACTCACAGGCAAAATCTTACTAAGGTTTTTTGACTGTAGCAACATCAGTTTCCTGGTCTGGATGTTGTATCTAAGGAGTCTCACTGAGGAAAATTAGGATAATAGAGAGGGCCTCTTTATACATTCTGTAAACCTACATTTATTTCAAAGTACACAAATATCAACTAAAAACACTTACCTATGTGCATAAGTTTCCTAGGGCTACCACAACAAAATACGAATGCCTTGTGGCTTAAAGCAATAGGAAAGAACTTGCAGTTCTGAGGCGGGAGTCCAGGATCAGTCAGTCAGGAAACTCACGCTTCTTGTGAAGTCTCTGCAAATCTCCCCAGACTCTTGCTAGATGTTGGAAGCTCATTAGCAATCTTTGGTATTCTCTGGGTTGTGGTACTCCACCTCAATCTCACCTTCATATGGTATTCTACCTCCATGTATGTCTTCTCACAAGATTCCTCTCAGATTAGGGCCCCCCTCTACCCTGGATGATCTATCTCATCTGGACCAATCACATCTGTAAAAATCATTTATCTAAAATAAAGATACATTCTGGAGTACTGGGGGCTTAGAACTTCCGTATGTCTTCAGGGCAGGGGAATGCCTTTCAACCCATAGGCCTACTCTACCTAAAAGACTAAATTCTAGAACCCATTAAATTCTACAAAGAAAACATGGTTTATTACTTATTTAGCAAACTCTTCAATCTCCTATACATGTCAGTCACTGTGCTGGTTACTGGGAACATAAACCTCAGTACTATGAAAAGGCTGGCCTGGATTATTCAATATTCTTGTCAAACACCCAGCTCTCTTCCCTATTCCTTAAGGAATGCTCAGTCTTCACTGTCTGGTATCACTCTGTCGGGTGTTAATCTAGTGTGGTTCTCTGTAGCAAATTCCCTTTGAGGTACCTTCTTGCTCATTTGCTAACTGATTTGTGTGGTTCTCCCTCCCTGATACAAAAGGCAGAGGCCGTTCCCCTTTTGCCGTCCCTTACAACACTGCATGCTAGAAAACTACTCAGCCCAACAGGTCCTTTTAACAGGACCAATTTAATTGTTAAATTATTTGTTAAAAGAACACTCATGCATTGAAGATTTGCTAATCAAACTCTTGGTCATGTCTTTCAGTCGTCTTGCCAACCCTTTCTAGGTGGACGCTGGGGCTCTACCTCACATGCTTTGTCATAAGCATTGTGACAAGTCTCAGCAGTCAGAAGAGGCACAATGCTGGCTTCAAAGCAACTGGGCTTAGACCATTCTGTTGCTGACGTCACTCTTGCATACCCATAGGCCAAAGAAAGTGCTCACTGCATTGTGCTTAGGAAAGCATTCTATTTAATACAGAGGAAATACATTTTGGTTTTGCCTCTAAAGATAAAATCCAAACTGGAGAGAATTTTTGATGCTTGAAATAGAAATACTTGGAGAGGGTTTGGGGCTTAAAAATAAAATACATTTGTGCTTGCATCTAATCATACCATCTTAAAACTGAATAAACCCAACAGAAGCCAACAGCAACAAACACCATAATTCAAGCATTCCAGATTCTTGGGGTGTGTTTGAGATCAAAGGCTAATTTCATTTAAAATGCCGGTAATTGATCCAAGAAATGAAAGTTCAAAATCAAAAAAATTAAACTATCTAAGAATAGCAGGCCACTGGAAAAGATAGTGTAACTCAATATAATTCATACATTTATTATTGTAGAGGCTGCTTTATAAGTCATTTTCATATAAAGTGTATTTATTTTACTGAGCTGATTGTTTCCTTCTGGAAAGACTTCAGGGACACATTCCTTTAATGTTATTCTTTGAATAGCTTGAAGAATATACAATTTTATATGTGTGTGTGTGAAAGATACTGAGTGAGCGTGTGCGTGCGCGCGCGCGTGTGTGTGTGTCTGTGTGTGTGTGTGTGTGTGCGTGTGTGTGTGTGTGCGCGCGCGCGATGGGATTTTTACCTAACCAAATTTAAGACAGTACAAATTACAGGTCAGCTTCCTATTCATGACAGATCTAGACTAGCGGCAACTTGATTAGAGAGAGAGAAAGCATCAGCACTGGAGCCAGCAGCCCTGAGAACTTTGTGTGTGTTTCTAATTTTCAAAGAAATCTCAACACTTCATTCCTTTGCTCCCAGATAGATATTTTCCAGTAATAAATACTTGGCCAAAGTTAGCCCTGTTGAGGTTTTAATGAACTTTTGATACCTCGTATAAACCAAGGAACTGTGGCATAGAGCATTGAATAACCCATAGATAACTAGTTTGGCTTTACATTCCAGTTATTACATGCAGTGCTTTCTGAGATGTTTCTAAGTGACGTCTGTCAGCAGATTTCTTTTTATTGCTTTTAATTGAATTATGTGGTAGGGATATGCGTACATGAGTACAACTGCCCTCAAGTCTAGACGAGGATTCAGATTCCTTGGAGATGGAGTGACAGGAAATTGTGAACCACCCGATATGGACACTGGGAACTGAACAGAAGACCTTTAATCCTTAAGGGACCCTGTGCCCTTAACAGTAGACCATTTCTCCATCCTACCAGTATTGATTGAGAAGGCTTATTAAATCTTCTGGAAAATTCTTCATCAATTTTATTTCATTCTAAGCTTTTCCAAAGGTATTGATTCATGTTATCATTAGTGTCCACAGTGTCTGGAACACCTAAATAACCATATGATGAAAGTGTGTAGTATTTCTTAACACTTTAAAAAAAAATCTTCAATTTAAAGTTCGGCTGAGGGTTAGAATGCTTCCCTAGAAAGTGAAAGGCCCTTGGTTCTATTCCTAGCACCACAGAATATAATAGTAGTAGTCATAAAGGCAGAAGGCACCTGAGAATCCCCAGTGCTTCTCTGAACGCCGTGACCCTGACACAGAAGGTAGAGACACTGTACATCAACAGGAAACATGACACCCCATAGGAAGGCTAGCGGGCCTTGATTATCTTCCAGATACACTTATGATCTACAGGCTAAGTGAGCATAATACATGAGCCTGAAGCAGCAGAAACACAACAGCCAGGGAACATCTGATACTCTGGGGAGCTGCTGTGGTCAGCAGGAAACATGGCACGCAGGGCAGAGCTGCAGAAAGAGCGGAAGCAACTCATGGGCAACTTGTGGAAGAAAGAAGGATGGAAAAAGATACCCAGACTTTGAAGCATAGAAATCACCACAAAGTCAAACAAGTTAAAACAAAAGCTTCTGGACAGAAGGAAGTGTCGAAGGGCATCTGAAAAGACAGTTGTCAGTCCTTTTAAAATGGCAGTAATTGTAGATGGGGAGGCCTACTGTAGCCACTTTCTTATATTTCAACAACAGTTTTAAATTGAAAACATTCAAAGTCTTCTCTGCTAGGTGTTTTTGAACTACATAACACGTTATATACTGCATGACAATGAGAGAGATGGAGTGGGATATTTTCCCCACTGCATTTGTATAAAGCTCTGCGATTGGGCTGTATGAGAGGTAGGCGGAGTGAGGAGTCGGGAGGAAAGGAGTAGGAGGAGGAGGAAGAGGAGGAGGAGGAGGGGGAGGGGGAGGAGGAGGAGGAGGAGTAGGAGGAGGAGGAGGAAAGACAGCGGCAGATGTCTGAGTGTCTCTAGCAGTCTAAGGTAGTTATTAATATCAAAGTTAGGTAATTGGGTAAACAACTTTAATTGTGTGGGTATCCTGTTAATTGAGCATTTCCAACTATATAAACCAATTGGATAACCTTTAAGCTTCAAGAGTCTCATTTCTACCAAGTACCGAGGGCATGGCGGGTATTGCCTGGGGTTCAGTGGAGCTTTGTGGAGACAGTGTGGTAGATTGGCAGAGCCATCCCCCATGCTGGCGACTCGTGGGTGCCAGGGCCGATGTTTCTAGATAGCAGAGCCGTGGTCCAGAGCCAGAGCAGCAGGAAAGTGCGGCTGTCTGGGAACAAGGTGGACCAGGCACCATTTTTTAACTATTGCCCGCAACAGAGTGATATAACATTGCACCCAAAAATGTGTACAACTGTCATTTGTTGATTAAAAAATAAAATGAAAAGGAAGAAAACTAGTTTTGAAGGTAATGTATTACTTACCAAACCTGCTATTGGAGTAGACAGTCTATTGATCTTCTTAACGACTCCAGGTTTGAGCTTATTAATCAAACTGAAAGAAAATAAATAACACAGGCAATTACAAAAATGTCAATGTGATTTTTGTGCTCTTTGAAATAGTCTCAAAAATTCTGAGTAGTGTAGTTCTGATCCCAAATGTATCATTCTGAGCCATAGGCCCATCAGAAAACAAACAACTAAAAAATAAAAAAAAATAAAATAAAAACAAAACAAAAAAATTAAGACAAAACAAAGAACTCTGTACAAAAGGGTGGGAGAAATCTTTGGATCACACTTCTATATCCAAAGCCCACTTCTTTAGAAGTAGTTTCACGTGCATTAAACAGAAGCACAATTCGGTTCCGTTTCAACACACAGTAAAAACCCCTCATCCCAATTTCCTTCACTTGGCCCAAAGAATACTTTTTTCCCTATTCATAATTCTCAATGGGATTTTTTTTGTTTTCTCATCTGGGTCCTTGTTTTGAAAGATGGCCTCCAACCCACACTATTTCACATGCAAAGGGTGCTGAGGAACTCAACCAAATAATTGACTATTTCTTACTGGTAACTCATTCATGCCCATGACTGATTGCTTTGTTACCAGAGTGGAATGACTGGGTGGAAGTTAAATGTACCAGAACTCCTTCAAATTACCCTGGAATCTAATACTGAGCACATTTCAGTTAATATGACACACACTGCAAAGATATCTATGTCTCTATACACCAAAGCATTAGAAAAGAAACTCAGCTTTTGACAAGCACACTGATGATACGATTCCGCTTCTAAATCTCAATCAGTATGTATTCATTCTTTTTATTCACTAATACAAAGCCAGACTGCGTAATAATTTCATACTACAATGTTTTCCCATTAATGCAAGATTGAGTAATTAATCATTAATCACTGTCACAGACCAGTATCATAAAATAGTGGAAAAAAATCTACTTAACAATTCATCCCATAAATAAACAATTCTTTACTCTGTGGTGAGGTCCAACAGCAAAGCAAAGAAGGAAAAAGGGAAATAAAATTATCTACTTCCCTGGCCTCTCCTTTGCAATGGGCACTTATTGTGGAAGGGTGGGGATGAGGGTGTCCTATGAATGTCACTCCTTCCGCATTCCAGAGATTTCTATATACATTCCAGTATGCTAAGAATTAAAAAAACAAAAAACAAAACAAAAAAGACAAAAAGTCTCAACTTAATAGCCTTCAGAATGTTGTTCAACGGGATTCAGAATTACAGAACACCGGCTTATGAAGATTTAGCCTGGCAAACAAAAGTTGCTTCTCTGTTTTCATAGCCTGTTCACACAAAGATCTGTAGACAATGTAGCTACAAATACAACCACCCTCTTGGCTTTGGGGATGGGTGTCTGGGAATGGAACTCAAGGCCTCAAGTGTGCTAGGCAAATACTTTCCTCTGGAGCCACACCCAGCCCCAGTCCCTCAGCTATAAGTTATCTCCTTAGTTGGGACTCTATGAGTCCCAATATCTGAAATGTGCATTGTGAGCCATTTACGAAGCCTCTTTTCTTCTCTGACCACGCTGCTTTCCTTCATTCAACAATTGATCTAGAGAATAATTAAGCAGCTTAATAACAAATGGCAACTGTGCATTAATCCCTCTCGTTTTCCCCTCTTGACTGACTGCTTCTGTAACCCTGGCATTTCTGCATTTCTATGACTGTCAGCAATGCATAGGAGAGCTAATACATGACACATTGCTAGACGACAATACAATTCTGACATAGGAGTTCAAACAATCTCTTACAGTTAGTTATTCACCACTCCCTTGACAGTGGTAATTTTTTTAGTTTAGTGATTTCCTTAGACTATAATCTTTCAATGACATAACTTTGAAGCTAATTTGAACAGGAGTCACACAGCATCTCAGGAAAGGCTGAGCACTGTCGTCCTTTCAGAGGGAAGGGTCATAAACTCCTGCCTCACCCATTGAGTCACTGGTGACTCGGACCTGGTCTCTTTTTACACATTGACACAACCTATCACTTTTGACATATAGTGTCAGTAATTCCAAGAACATTTTCTATTCAGTTTCTGAAATGAATGATCAAACAGATTACTGTCTATGAACAAAGGGACAGGGTAAGTAAACAGCAAAGACAGATACTTTGTGGTAAATTAACCAACCCCTCCTCCACTGCCATCAGCAGGTCTGGCCTGAAAGATGACTTACAGAGACATATACACAATGGATTAGCCTCCCCTTCTCACTCCTCAACCTTCTCATATGTGTGCAAACACGGAAATAATCACAAGGAAAAAACTAACACTCTGGAGAGCACATACTTACTCTCAAACACTCTGAGTCACTAAAGGAAAACGCTGCTTCATTTCACCCATCACAAGGCTCAGAGTTATAAACACTAGGCTAAGGAGGAAATGAACATACAGTTTTGACAAATACCAAGCATGCAAATCACTTGGTGAGTTATGAATTATGATTCTCAAAAGGAAGAACTTTGAGGATATCTCTTGCAAGGATAGGAAAAAAAATGTTTTGTGAGACCTAAAAATAACTCCATGAATTTAAGCACACTTAATGGAATAAATACAGGCAGGGCCTCAAGTTAAAGGAAATTCAAGTACCATGTATGGAAACAGTCTCCTTTACAAACAGAAATGCTTTGCATAGTACGTGTTCTTCAATTTCACATGTGGACTTTCTAAAGGGACACTGACTTCAGGTCACTGGCTCTGAAGCAAGAATCAGATTACAGGATAAACTTCCAGATTCTCTCATGGCCTGTGTTCTTGGCCTGCAACCCTCTGTTCCATCCCTCCAGCCCTGAGTAGAATTATATCTTTATCCCTCTCAAGCTCTCCCTTCTATGGGGGAACAAACATAATTACTGCTTGCTTAGCACATCAGAGGGTTGTTCTTTTGGTAGGATTAAAACAAGAACACAAAATAACTTGGGGTACTCTCATGGTTACCTCAATAACTTTCTTAGCTCCTCCACTGCTATCGTCTGGAGTGTTTGTGACTCTCCTAAAAACTCCCATGGTTCAAATAGAGGGCAGGGCCCTTTGGGAGGTGGCAAGATCATGACTCTGCACCTCCTGAATGTGATTAGTGCCTTCAGACAATAGGCTTTGCCCTTCTGCTATGGAAAGTTGTAGTGACAAAGTGACACTGACAAGATGTGAACTTATAAAGGAAGTGGGCCCTTACCAGACACCCAATCTGCACCCGCCTTTATCTTGGACTTCCTCTACCCCAGCACTGAGAGAAATAAATTCCTGCTATATGCAAGTTACTCATGTTCCGGTAGTTGTTAGTGTAGCCCAAATGGACTATGCTCTGTCTCAAGATGTCTACATTTCCTTCTTCATCCCTTGCCCACAAAGACATTGTCTATTCCCCTAAAAGGACTGTTGTTAGAACTATCCAAGAACACTGGTTTCATTCACAGACCTTTCTCTTTGTGGACATATCTTGACTTCCCTATTCAGGTGTGACACTCAGAAAGCCATCTATAAAACTGAACATGGCTCAGACATGAATGGTTTTAAGAACTTGAATTGACACTCTACTGTTGTCTAATCTTAAAAAAAAAAAAAAATAGGGGCGGTGGTGGCACAAGCCTTTAATCCCAGCACTTGGGAGGCAGAGGCAGGCGGATTTCTGAGTTCGAGGCCAGCCTGGTCTACAGAGTGAGTTCCAGAACAGCCCGGGCTATACAGAGAAACCCTGTCTTGAAAAATACCCTCTTATTCTTGGGGCTGGAGAGATGGCTCAACGGTTAAGAGCACTGACTGTTACGGTGTACTCATAAATAAAATAAATATTTTTAAAAAAGTAGTTCTATCACACTTAATTTTCCCCCGATCAAAAAACTCTTCAGCCAAAGTACAAAATTCTAGGATAGATTTTTTTACTTCCAATCTCCAAAGATTTTCCAAATAAATGGAATGACATTCATGGAAGAATGTATTGATACACTGAAGAACTAGCTGACCTATGGGTTATCTTATTAGTCATCCATTCAAGCACATTTCTAACGTTATTTGTTACAGTTTGCACTAATGTTGTACTAACAGCAAAGATACAAATGTGTATCTTTCATATTACCAAATTTTTATTGTTTTTAATTTTTATGTTTATTTTAAGACAAGGTCCCATGTAGCTCACCCTTGCTATACATACCCAAGTGTCACTGTACTTTTCTGGTCCTCTGATTTGTCAGCCCACCTGGATTAGGCAGTGCAGGGGACTGAACTCAGTATTCATTGAGCTATATCTGCATCCCACTTTTTTTTTCCAAAAAAGATAGTAATGATGTCACATCTTTCTAACTGAAGACACTAATATCTTTCTGTTGCTTGATTAACTGATTATATCACCAATAGGGTATTATTTTATTTGCTCACTTTTATTCCAAACAGGAATTCTGTTTGGAATAAAATGTCATTAGACATTTGAATACTTACTAAAGACAGCCCTGGGCAGGGCTCAGTCGCAGAGCAAGCAGATAAGTATAATTCATTAGAGCAAATCCCTGAAATCCATCTGAGTTTTGGTTCCTGTAAAATTTTCAAAATCTATTATCTTCTTTAAAGAAGTAAATTTGGAAACAAAGAAAATTGCTTTGCTTCAATGAAATGCCATATTTTGTTTTTTACCAAGAATACCAATTCTGTGTGTTCTCTGTTCCAGGTAAATCAAACTGTATTACTCTCTCTGGAATTGTCAAAGTCGATCTCGAGAGTAAACCGTCAGATACAGTGATCTGGCCTGGTTATTTCCAGGAGGTGTCAAGATTATAAGTCAATAGCTTCTTTCTACATTCATATTTTAAAATAAAAGCACATCAGGTAGACAGTTACTACTTTCTCAATGGGTAAGATAACCAGCATTTGTCATCTAAAATTTAAAAGAATAAAAGCATTTGGTATTAAACTTTATGGTTACATAAAGTGATAAAAAAAATGTTATGCTTAATTTTAAGAAAAATAAAAACTTAACAATAAATGCAGAGGTCGGGTAACCATGTGGAAGAACAGTAAGTCAAAACCAA